GCAAGAGGATCTCTGTGAGTTCGAGGCCAGCCTGGTCTACAAAGCCAGATCCAGGACAGGCACCAATATTACACAGAGAAACCCTGTCTCAAAAAAAAAAAAAAAAAAAAAAAAATTCTTAGTATTATTTGTTCTCTTTTTTTGAGACAGATATCTTATCCCAGGCTGGTGGAAACTCACTGTGTAGCTGTGATCTTCCTGACAACCTCATCTTCTACCTCTACCTGGAAATACAGATCTACATCACCACACCCAGTTTACCTTATGTTGGGGATCAAAACCAGGGTATCCTATATACCAGAGAAGCACTCTAACAACTGAACTGTATTTATAACCCTAATCTTAACATTTCAAAGGTAGTTTTACATCTCATGTAAACAGTCTACAGCTGCCAAAAAATACACGAACATTTAAAATATCAAATCCAGGCCACAAAGATGTCTCAGTGAGTAAAGATGCTTGCTGCCAAACCAGGCAACCTGAGTTTGATCTCTAGGAGTCACATGGTGAAAAAAAAGAACCAACTCATGTAAACTGTCCTCTAGCTGCCACAGGTACACCCACACATACACATCAATTAATCAATCAATATAATTAATTTTTCAAAAAGATATTACGCTCCTATTTAGATTCAATTCTTTGGTTTTTAGAGACAAGGTTTCTCTGTGTAGCTCTGGCTGTCTTGGAACTCTCTCTGTAGACCCGGCTGGCATCAACCTCACAGAGATCCACCTGACTCTCAAGTGCTGGAACTAAAGGTGTGTACCGCTGCCACCACCACCCAGCTGGAAGACAGTTTTTAAGGCAATAATAGGTACAAACTTTTACATTTATAGTTCAAACTAAAATCAACATAAAAATATATAAAATATTGAAAATATTCCAATTAAGAGCCCTAAGAAATAAACTAACTCAAAAGTTAGGATATTGCAATAGCCAAGGAATGAAGTTGCCAAGGACCTTAAGCAAAAAGCACCTAAGTCTAGAAACAAACAGTGCTCCTTAGTTATCTATTAGTTCAACATACACTGATTAAATTATCTTCTACTTCCAAGACCCTAAACAAGCTAAGAAGCTTCCAACCAAGTAGGAAGATAATTCCATAGGGCAAAATATACATAAATAAATGCAGCAGCCACTCTAAACATGATAAAGAAATTCCATCTAAGAAGTACTCGAAAAGAAATGGAAAGGGAAGGACATCTTCTAAAAAAGGGCACTAGGGAATATATATTATGGGAATAAAAAAAGCATCTGATGTGAGTTTGAAACATATATAAACTTTTGACAAGTAACCATTAGGTGACAGGAGGACAAAATCATACATTTAAGTCACAGAAAAAAAAAATCTATAGAAGCTATGATGGGCTCCAGAAGAAAAAATGGACTAGAAAATTAGGAAGCAAAAATAGTTGGATTTATATGCAAGGGTAAGCAACTTGGGGCTTTTATTTTTAAATAGGCGAAAGAAACAATTAAAAGATTTTTGTTTGTTTTTTCTAGACTAGCTCTCTCTGTGTAGCCCAGGCTGTCTTAGAACTCACTCTGTAGACTAGGCTTGGCTTGGAATTCAGAGATCGGCCTGCCTCTGCCTCCTGAATACTGGGATTAAAGGCCTGCACCAACAGAAGATTTTTTTTAAAAATCACAACATTTATCATTGTATCATTGTAGGTAAATCATCACATGATAGTTTAACAATAAAAATGTAGTGAAGAGCCTTTTTGCTCTTCCAGAGGACCAGGGATTCAATTCCTAGTACCCACATCATGGCTCATAACTATATCTTCAGTTCCAGGGAATCCAATGTCCTCTTCTGGCCTTGGAGAGCACCAGATGTGCATGTGGTACACAGACATATACCCACAAACAAAAACTATAGACTGGACCGAACAGAAATGGGAGAACAGTAGCTTTCACCCAGTCCTAGAAAGAAGGAAGAACTTTTCTTAGGGTGGTGGGCTAGGAAAAAGACAGATACAAACACTCTGCTAATCATCTCATTGATAATTGACTCATAGTTTAAGATATTCTAAAGCCTAACTTATCACACAGAACAAAGTTGGCATTCACATTATTTCCATTAAGAAATATTCAAAAAAGGATATGAAGTTATGTGGGTAGGAATTCGGGGTTGGAACTGAGAGGAGTTGGTAGGGGGACTGAATATGATCAAAACATATATAGAACTCTAAAAGAAAAAAAAAGTAAATATCATTGTATATTAGTTTTGAAAAAAAAGTCTTATTTAGCTGGGGGTTTTGTTTTGTTTTTGTGATAGGGTTTCTCTGTGTAGCCTCCTGGCTGTCCTGGAACTCACTCTGTAGACTAGGCTGGCCTTGAACTCAGAGATCTGCCTGCCTGCCCCTTCCTCACAAGTGCTGGGTGGGATTATAGGCATGTGCCACCACTGCCCTGATGGTTTCTAATAATTTAAATAAAATATGATTTGGCGGAGGGTGGGCGGGGGGAAGGGGAAGGGGCAGGAGGGGGGAGAACAAGGGAATCCGTGGCTGATACGTAGAACTGAATGGTATTGTAAAACAAAATAAAAGGAAAAAATAAATAAATAAATAAATAAATATGATCTGGCACACACAAAAAAAATTTAAATAAAGAGAAAATGTAATACATGTGCAAAAAAAAAAGTTTATACACACACATTTTTTTCCCACTTTAGGCTAGGTGTGATGGCCTTTAATCCAGTACTCAGGAGGCAGAGGCAGGTGGATTTCTGTTAGTTCCATGCCAGCCATCTAGTGCCTCAAAAATTAAAAAAAGAAAGAACAAAAATTAATTTTATAGTCAATGTTTCAGCATATTTAAAAGCAGTTTCTTTTTGAAATATTGGAAACACCACATTCTTTAGTAAGGATGCAAAACAAAAGATAACAATATAAACATATTTTAGTATATTTAGTATACAGAATTTTATTCAAGGATAAACATCTTAAACTCAAAAGTTTATTTCGATGAAAAATAAAGTTTGGGTCAGAATTTTCTATACAACCATATTAAAACCTACAAAACTTTGCATAATTATAATGGTCAGCTTTCTGAAAAATAATTTCTGGGCCAAACATTGTGGCACATGCCTGTAATCTCAGCACCTCAGAGGATGAGACAGAAGGAATGCAAGTTTGAGAGCCCAGCCTCGACCACACAGAGTTACGAGCTAGCCTGAGCTATATTGTGAGAGTCAATCTCAAAAATAAATAAATAAATAAATAAATAAATAAATAAATAAATAAATAAAATATATTCAACTTGACCAATATTTTCCTGTAAGGTTAAAATTTTTCGATCATTAGTGCCTTCTTCATATTCTACCCTCCTCCCCACTCAACTCCCCACCCAACAAATCCCCTTTGTATGTATGGAAGGCAAGATACTGTATGATCCAGCAGGACCCTAAGGCAATGTGCATAGATAATTCTTATAAATACAGATACATAGCATCCTTTACCCTTTACAGGAGAGATACCAGGGGTATACTGGATTTCTGAACACATGAATGACAAATGTATCTAACAGAAGCAAAGCTTTACCACTGGGGGAAACAAAGGAGAAAACACACAATAGAAGGGTGGCAAATCTTACAAACTTTACAAAACACTGAAAAGCTGCGTGTGGATCGTTTACAAAAGTAAACCAAGACAGTTCTAAAACAAAGAAAAGGAGAAAAATTCTTAGTGATAATTAAGTTTCCAAAAAAGGGTGATTCAATATTAGTATTAGTTTTTAAGGCATCATTTAACACTACCACTAATTTTTAAAGAAGATACTTCTCCATTCACAAGGACACTAGAAATAATTACTACATACCTTCTAAGAGACATTTATACTTCATTATACTTGCATGGACTTCATTCTTTTCAAACATTTCCAAAAATACACATTCTTATAATAATCAAGGTTTCCTAATGACAAACACATTATTCTGTAGGTTTAACTATAACCCATTTTAAAAAGACAACGAATTCATCCTCAATTAACACAAGGAATCACAAAGGCCCTCTGCTTATTCAAAATCATTACATAAAGCACTGTCGGTAACTGCAAGGAAGGTTTGAATATCTGACAGCTATAATAACCTAAAATGAGGCATACTTTAAAGAACAAAAAAAAAAACTTTTCCATTTCCCTTTCTTTCCCCTTCCCTTCAGAGACACAAAATATCTCTAATGGCCTCAGAAAAAGCTCTCAAATAAAAATATATTATATACATTTCCCATGTACATGTACAGAAACCTGCCCCATCTCTGTGTATATCCCATTCAGAGGAAAAAGAAAGGGTCTTTAAGAGTCAAAATTATATTAATTCTGACACCCAAACTAAGTTAAATCACTATAAATTAATTAACGAGTAATAAAATACTGCATGCAAACCTAGAGACTATATGCACAGAAGGAAAGAACCTCAGACTAAGGCCATGAATGAATAAGACCGCCCAATCCCTGAAAATCACTAACCGGCATTTGGTTTCTATGAGAGAAACACGGAGTCTTAAAATGAAGAATCACAAAGGCAACTCAGTTTCTGAAGTTAACAAAGGTAAAATACAACGAACCAAATCAGACAACTGCATTAAAGTATAAGCTTTAAGGAATTCTCACAAAGGGAAAGACTGTCTTCATGAATGGATTATAAAACATCCCTTGCAGGTAGAAATCTTGAATTATTTAAAAAAAAAAAAAAAAAAGTGGAGGGCCGTCAAAAACCTGAATGACATGCAAAGGCAAAGCCAAAAACTGATCTTTCCTCCCTCCCCCACTCCAGTCCCCCCACCCCCACCTTCTCCGGACAATGGGATCAGGGTCCTAACTGCAAACTTTAAAGGTATAAGCCAGAGCAGTTTTACTGCAGCTTTAACTGCAATCTGCCCCTCATCCCGAACCTGGCGCACCCAAGAATACTTCTGGCCTGAAAACATCACCGGGGTTTTGTTAAGAACAAATCAGACCCATCCAAAAAAAATTAAAAGTTTGCTCCCAAATACCTGGAGGATCCATTTCAATATAAAATATCAGTTCTGTCGAATAGGGCATCATCACCTCCCTCCAGTCTGCGTCATCGCGGTCCATACTCCACACCGTATTGTACATCGCGCTGTCAGGGGCAGGTCGTCAGGAAATATATAGAAAGCATATATATCTTTTATCTGATATTTCAAAATCTAAATATATATATTTGCTAAAGTTCCAAACGGAAATGTACTTCGGGGTTTCCAACGGCCAGTACAAGTCCAGCCAACTACTGGGATGAGGACAAGGTCCTCCCCCTCTCTCCTCCTACAGCACCCAACAAAATGCCCCGAACTTTCAAGCTACGGGGTTTTACCTCAGAGGGTTACAGAGAGGCTCGGAAAGCAGAGAGCAGTGGTGTTAAAAAGCCGCTTCCCGAAAAATCCTTCCTACACAATCGCTCTCCAAAGGGAAAAGCTCCCCACCGCCTCCTAATCTTTCAGCGGAAGCCACTTTTGTGTCCTTCGGAGGAGAGAGAATGGGAGAGGAGGGAAAAAAAAAAAGAAGAACGCGTTGGGAGAAAGCTGGGGAAGTGACAAAGGCTGGAAAGGGGGGGTTGCGTTCAAGTTTCGGGGTCCCACTGGTCTGCAGAGAGCGACTCCCTCTGGGACTGGGACTCGGGCTCTGTTCGCGTCAGGCTGGGAACCCAAGCTTCCGCAGCTTCGGGATGGCGACCCGTTGGACAGTCCAGCCCGTCAGCTCGGCTGTGCGCGGGTAGCAAAGGTATCCCCGCCAGCGCCGGCTCCCCTCACGCTCTGCCGGGGAGCCAACCACTAGAGTTTCATTTTAACTGCGCGGAGGGGACCTCCTCCCCCGCCCGCCCTCCCCACCCCCGCTGGGGCGCCACCCAACCGCGCGGGGCAGGGGGAACAGCCGACAGCGCGACGGGCCTTTCCACTCCGTACCATCTTGACGTGCGGGGACGGCCAAGCGCCCGAGGAAGAACCCCTCCTCTGGCCCTCCACTCCGACTTTTAACTCTCCCCGTCCCCGTGTCGGACTCTACTCTTTGGTCAGCCGTTGTCTCTACCCCCAGCCTCACTCCGAATGGTCCAGCCCGGGCGCTGGCCGCTCGCCAGGAGTCGGAGCCCGGCGCACGCGAGCTCAGCCCGGAGACGGGGGCAGACGGTGATTGGCTGATCCCGGTTGCCGGAGCCCGAGCCTGCGTCTTTTGTCTGCCCTGCTCCAGCTGAGGAGCGGAGACGGCTGCGCGCCCCGAGCGGGCCAATCAGGAGAGAGCCGGCGCCGGCCGGTAAGGCGGCGATTGGTCGGACCTCAGTTACCAAGCGGGACAAAGGCAGACGGGGAAAAGAAAAGAGGAGGAAGGGGAGGGGTTGTGGAGAAAGAAAGAAGGCGCAAACGGCGGTTACTGACAGGCTAGGCGAGCGCTCGGGGGCTCAAGCTGCCCGGAGACTGGCGGGGCTCCCGCTGTGACTCGGGCCGCCCCGGACTAGTGACGAGGGGGAGGACGGGCTGGCGCTCGGCTCTTCTGCCTGGAGACTGGCCGCGGGGGAGGGGAGCGGTGGGAGCGGGCCGGGCTGTCACTTGGCCGGCCGGGCGCACGCTCTCCGGCTCCATCGGAAGTCGCTGGGCAGAGTTCCTCCTCACACACCTCTTCACCTGGCTGCCTTCGCCCTCCCCTGCCCCTGGGTTAAATCGTCCGGGTACAGCAAAGGTCGCCATGCTCACTCGCATGACTGTTCCTCTCCAGACAAGGTGCCCATCGCCCCCCCCCCCCGCAACTCCCTACGGGTATCTGCACCTCGGGCATTTCTTGGGGAGTCATGTTTGCCGCTACTCTGCTTCCCACTGTAGGACTTTTGAACCCAGAATAACTCAACGCTCAAGTAAATAGTGAGGCATCTCAACAAGCCCTCCAGTTCTGGTACTCATAGAAAAAAATTTTTTTTCTGGAAGTATAGTGAGTGTGTGATTTCTGAGGTAAATCACAGGTGTTGGGTTCTCTCGCCAAAAAGTCACTATTTCTGTTTCCCTGACAGCCCCCTTTCCGCACACGCAGTCCCCTCCCTCCAAACTTAAAGCTTCAGTATGAAAATGCTGAACATTTCCATGCATTGCAGAAACAGCTAATTAACTTGCCGGGGACCGCTGAATAGCTAACCTGTGCCTGGAATTGCCATCCTGCTCTACAATACAGTCTGAGGAGGCCAAAAACTGCTGCTGTTTCCTCTTCACACTGGAGTAACAAAGCCCATTGTGTTTGAGTTGACAACCTGATTTAAGCCCTAGCAAAGCCTACCCCGAGTAGCTCTGTGTATTGATTAGCCTCCGGAACAGTCGCCACTTTTCATCCTCCTGAGGCGGTTCTGCTTTTCTTTTCTTTTCTTTTCTTTTTCTTTTATTTATTTATTTGGTTTCTCGAGACCGGGTTTCTCTGTGTAGCTTTGCTCCTTTCCTGGCTCTCGCTCTGCAGACCAGGCTGGCCTCGAACTCACAGAGATCCGCCTGCCTCTGCCTCCCGAGTGCTGGAATTAAAGGCGTACGGCCCCCGGTTCTGCTTTTCTTAAAAGTGTTTTGAGTTAGGCCAGCATTGGTGATTCACGTCTTTAGTCCCAGCACTCAGGAGGCAGAGGCAGGTGGATCTCTGAGTTCAAGGCCAGTCGGGTCTACAAAGAGGAAAGTTCCAGGGCAGCCAGGGATACACAGAGACACCCTGTCTTGGAAAAATAAAAATAAAACAACAACAAAAAGAAGTCCTGAGCTGAGACAAGCCCCAGAAACTGACAAAATCAAAATGTATACAGACTAGATACAAAGTAAAGGGATAAAGAATCCGAAAATACAGACAGGGTTAAGCTTTAAAGGAAACATATTTCAAAAGCACACGAGAATTCTTTCAGAATCCTCGAGATGCTTTCTTCTGTCTCTTGAGTTGAAATGTGTTTCAAAAGCTAGAGCAGCTCTGGAGCAGGGCTCATTAATTTTAATCTCCTGAACTCCTTCAGGTAGAAGATGTTGGAAGATCAACTCTAATTTGTGGCTGACTTCCCAGCAGTCTCTACTTTACCATATCTGAATGCCAAAAGTATTCACATTTGATAACTCAAAAGGCAGAACAATCCCTCAAGGGCAAGTGTGGGTGTACGTTTGTTCCCAGGTGCCCATGTGCATTCCCAAACAAAATGAAAGTGAAGAGACAAAAATATGGAAAAGATAATGGCTTTCATGTTTTCACTGCAGCTTTTTTTTTTTTTTTTTTTTTTTTTTTTT